TTCCACTGTGACCAGGCTTCAGCAAAATGCCCTTCATGGCTCAACTGGATGGCTTTAGTGTTTGATGGAGGGAAATTTCAAATAAGATCTAAAATACACTTTTTGTGCTTCTGCTTATTATGAAACATGCTGTCCATTGCTGTGCTGTTGAGTGTGTTCATGTTCTGTTAGTTCTTTGATCAGTGTGGGAGGTTTTGCAGAATTAAAAGCTTTTACATAGAAAGGGAGAGCTAGAACCAACAGAACGGTGTTTCTTTTCTCTTAAAATTGTGTTGATTGCTTTTGTTGTCAGGCAAGTGTATTTTTGTCACTACAGTTTTTCATTTTGTTACTATACCTTGTCTATTTAGAGTCCATCTTTGCTATGATTTTTGTTAAGGTTCTATTCTGAATGGTGGAGCTGGTTCACAGTATTTAATGTAGCAGAGAACCTGGAGGGCGTAGGGTCAAGACCTGTTGTGCTAGGTGCTGCTTAAGGATTTTAAATAACCACGTCCCTGCCCCATAGACCTCACATTTGGGGTCTCTTTGCTTTAAAGAGGCTGAACTCCTTTTAGGAAAAGGGGAAGTAGTGTCGCCATGCAACTCTTCTCTGCTACAGCAGCCGGGCTAGTCATTTAATACCTTGATTTATAACAGTGTTGTAATCTAAATAGGAAGCAGGTGGAGTTACAACTGGGTACGATACTTTGGATATTAATGGCTTGGCTTGGCAGTGGAATTCTAAAGCTGTATATACTTTTTCTGTCTTAATTAAAAGCTTTTATACCCAACAGAATAAAGTAAATATTGTTTGATCTCCATAGTGTGCTCCCAGACTGTAGATTTGCACAGCAGGGTCTTGATAATCTGAATAAATTGTATTTCCCCAAGGAGTTTATCTTTCAAATAAGGTCATAAAGAAATGCATTCTTTCCCCTTAGTTCTCCTTGTGCTTTTTCTGCTATTTATAACACGGAGCAGAGGAATAGAGGTATATTGTAGTCTGCTGTGTACTTGGTTATGATTAACTCTGATTTATCAATCTGTTACATCCTTTTCTTTGGCTTGTGCAAGGCAATTATTCTTTAAAATACAAATGAATAAAGATGGATTTGGAAGTAATTTAAACATAATGTTTATATCTATTTTTCCTGTTTGGCAGTTTATCATATCTCTATATTAAAATACACTATGCATTAAAATATGGACAATGTCACATAATTTATTTTGAATATTTAATATTGTCATCTTTCAGATTATGTTTGTTTGGAAAATAGATTTTCTTTTATGAGGGTTTTAAATGTCAGCTCATTGTTAAATTGGTTTGGCATCTAAAGGTTAATAATACTGAATCAGAAGACCAGTAGTGTGGAACAGTGGATTCCCTTACTTCAGTGGAGGGATGTGCACTAAGTAGGATGCACAGGATCAAAGGTAGTTCTTATTTTAGCAGTGCACACTGATAAATAATTTGGCCAATTTACTAAATTTGAGTTTACTGTGATATTTCAGAACAATTTCAACTTCAGTTGTAAGTGCTGTATATAATTTTATACATATTTTCTTAGTCTGAGTGTGTTTCAGCAGTGTAACGTACATCATATTAGAAGAGATAGGATTGCTACCTTTCCCTAATTCTCTTCAGCTCTTAGTGACAGTTCTGCTTGTGTTCATATTTCGTCCTTCGGCTCAGGAAAGATAAGTGGCATATACTTAAAGGTTTATAAAAAGAATGATTAAGAGGTTCAAGAATTGATATAAGCCTGTTTTGTATTGCATGTTTTAAAGAACATACTGTAATACAGTACCGGAAGAAAGCTACACACTACTTTAAAATTTTAAGGTTGCTCTTTTAACACAATATAATAAAATCTGTGGAAAACAGAGACTGCCAGTACTCTTACTCATGACCACACCTAAATTTCCTGTTTAGTAACTTATTTAATCATTTATCAAAGTTTTTAATTCAATTAAGTGTTTAATGTGAAAAGTCTATTCAAATCAGACTCAGCTGGCAATAATTGCTTTGATCCTTCCTGTGGGATTTTATTAAAGCTAGAAAGTAAGGTGCATTTTTCTTGCAACTAACTTACCTACTGCATTTTAGCCTATTTCTGAAAGTCTTACTACTTATAAAGGGCAAAGTTATCTGATCTGGGTTGTACACTGAGCAATCTCAGTGTGACATTTTTGCCCTCTAGTATCATCACAGAGACAGTAATGTACAGTACTGTATAATCTTGATTTGAATATTGTTATGACAATCTGATAATTACCATTTGTAAAAGCTAAAGCAGTATTTGACTCTTTGTCTGTGAAATACAAACCTGTAGATCAACTCTAACCTTACAAAACCAAAAATGAAATGTTTCTGATTCCAGGCCAAGACCAGTTTTAACAAAACATACTTACAGTATTCATCGAGCAGTAAACTGTAAGTCCAGCAGGTCACTAGTGTATTATGTTAAGTGAAGCATCAAAAATCATCTCAAACTTCACAATAAAAATAAGTAAACAGATAACCTCCATAATAAATAAATAAACACACATACATAAATAAGCATCTGAAATAAGTTATAACATATAGTATAGTAAATAAATAACTGGTGAGATTATATTTATCCATCCACAAGTATCTTCAACTCTAAGGCAGCCTTCATAAAAACAACTTCAGCTGGTGTTGATCTGAGGGCATAGGGGAGTTTGGATGACCATGAAAAATAGCCAGACCAAAAATGAAGGCTTACCAGTGTCATTCAGATTTCACTGAAAATGTGAAGGCTTTTCAGGGGAAGACTGCATTTGTGTGTCTCATTGCTGTTTCTCTCTAATGAGGAAAGATCTTATTATGTTATCCACAGTATCATCCTCTTCTGAAGCCCTCTAAAAGCCACCTCTCCTTCTCCATTGACACTTTTTGGGGTTTGATCAGGCATTTGTTTTAGTTGGGCTGTTGATCCTCAGGTCACCGTGCTTGATTATTCATTCATTCATTTATTTATTCATCTATTTATTTATTTATTCTTATGCTCCCCAGATACAGCCATTGACTACAAAAAAGCTCAATAAATACACACTGAGCTCTTCTAAATTTCTTTCTGGCATTTGGCATTAATTCAATCAGTGAGTTCTTTGAAAAGAAAGTTTTCCAAACCCGGGACAATGAACTATGGTTGTTGCTTGTCAAATACTGTGATGTTTGCTTTGATTAGACTCTTATGTGTTGTTGCCACCACTGCATAGCCGTAACAGAAGTGGTGTTGTGAGGTACCATCTGTGATCTGAGGATATTAAGTCACCGAGCAAGCATACAGACCAGATACTTCTCATGTAAAATTCATTCCTTTCTCTTTCTTTCTGCAACTGCAGATTTATCCCTACCTCCTCTGTTAGTGTGAAGAGGAGCCGACACTAGAATATCTGTGGCTTTTGGGATGATGGCTGTTAGTGCTTGTTCTGACAACGTAAAGAACTTTTCTTTGTTCTTCCAAGAAAGCAATGTGAAACTCCTATGCAGCTGTTTAAGTAGATAATGAACGGGATTTATCTTTAGTGTAGGACTCTGCTAGAGAAGTGCACTGTTCAGACTGGGAGGTTATGTAACAAGCAGGAACCTGCACAGGAATTTGATTTCATTTCCTCCAGTACAGACTCCTCTAACCAGGTAAAAAAAATTCTTTCTCCACTCTCCATTGCATATGCATAAACAGCTCCACAGTCATTGGGACAGGCACCCAATTCACACGTTCAAGATGTAGTCCGTAAAACATTCCAAAAAACCCCTCTTCGCACTTTCCCATCTTCCCTGTTGCTCTGCTCTATCTGCCAGCCGTGCAGCTCATTTGACATTTACAAGATTTCTTGTCAGTTTCATTTGGTGCTGCCATTCCATCCAGCAGAGCAGTGAAAGTGAAATTGACTTAATTTAGTCTGTTTCTCTTCCTTGCTCTAGTCCCTATGTTAACTAACCAGCAAAGTGAAACTGACGAGACTTCTTGTCATTTTCACACATGGGGCTGGTCAAAGAGAAGGCAGCTGATAGGGAGCAATGCAGGAAATTGAAAGATGAAAACCAGGATTGCGGAGGAGAGAGGAAGAGAGGTGTGAGCGTACAGCAAGAACAGAGAAAATGAGTAAACATGCTTATTTCCCAGATGCACTGGATACTTTTGTATGATACAAGTGACTTCTTGGCCTCTCTCCTGAAGAGAGCAGTATGGTCTAGAACAGCAGTAGTTAGTTGTCCAGATTTATATCCAGTTTATGAGGGATGCCAAGTTAAAAGTGTTAGCCCGTAAATATAGGTCATCTGCTAGCAGGATGGAAAAAGCTTACTGCCTTGAGTTACTGTAGCTTTTGTGTCTTCAAATTTTCAGCTGCTAGAAGGAGGGGGAAAAAAAGCAGGAGGCCAACATGTACTACAGGTTGATGTCAGTGGTTGGAGGGAAAAAAAAGGGTTAATTTTTTCACTGAAGAAAAATTCATCCGTAATAAGATGTAGCTAAGCATCTTGTATTTTGTGAGGTTTCATGGAACTAAAAGTTGTACTACACAGGTGCTCTAGCTCAATCAAAACAATAAATAATGAACAAACAACTGCTTTGTAACAAATCATAGTAGTTAACAAATACATTTTTTAAATGCACTTGTTAGGTCCTGTGAGTTCTTGTCGTACAGTGTAAATCATGCCGGTTTATTATAGTATGTGCTAATCCATATTTCTTATAGATGCTTTATGCACATATAACCTTAGAAGTTGCAATATAAATTAGTACTATCATATGTACATGTATGCTACAAGTGCATATGTATAAGCATATGCACTGGTAGCATTTACACATACATTTTGAATGAGGCTGTGTTAATTAATTTCAGGTTATATTGCCTTCTTTCTCAACAACTCCAAAAGAATGACCTTTTATCATTATCTGAGACCTGTGGGGGTTTTTATTCTCTGTTTTGTGTTTGTTTATTAGTTTGTTTTTCTGAGATGTGTTTTGTTTGCTTCGTCCATTTAGGAGTTAAATAGTTTTAATTACTTGGACCTGTATAAGCTTGCGGACCTCTTCAACCTGACTTTGTTGGAGAATGCAGTCATTGGCTTCCTAGTAAAACATCTCTCTGAGCTACTGAAGAGTCATCCTGAAGAAGTTCTGGCACTCCCATACTGTCTTCTTCGAGAGGTTTTTAAAAGCGATAGACTCACTTCACTCAGTGAAGAACAGATCTGGCAGGTAAGGAGATTGGTGAACAACCAGAATGTGTGATACTCTATAAACCATAGCAGTAGTCTGTTGTTTTGAAACCCTGGAGCAATCTCGAGGGAGAATAAGCACTTGAGCAAAAACTGTGAATAACAACTGAGGGAAATTTCTAAATGAAGTTCCAAAAATGTTGTGTTGTGTTAATGCAATTACTTTGTTTGAAAGAGAAATTTGTCATACTGCTTAACTTGTGCTACTTAAATATAGCCCGAGATTTCCTTCCAGATCGGATTTCGTTGGTGGGAAGACATGGCTGATGCATGCAACTCAATTATCATTGCCTCTGATGAGGCTAGTGCTACAAGTCTGGTGGCAAACCTGCTTCTGCAGTCTGTCCCATTCACATCAGTCACATTTAGCTGTGTAACTTCAGTAGTCATTTAAATTGTTTGGGCCACCACAGCTGACTTTGCCTGAAGCAAATTAGAGAATCATCACACAGGCAGCTCTACTAAGAGATGAGTGGAAGCTTCAGTGAAAGGTTTGTGGCAAAAAGCTGGAGGTGGCAATCACTTCCTTTAAAAAAGCTGGATCTAGAAAATAGCCAGATTGCTACCCATAGAGTATTAACACGATAAAAGCCTTATGTTGTGACCTTAAGTGTGTGTCTTGGGAGGAAACCTAATAGAAAAAAACCACCTCTTCAGAGAAAAACAAAAACTAAACCAAAATCTATCCTTGGAAACATTCCTATCATATGTCTTTAAAAATTGTAATTCATGATATAGTGGAAGGCAATCTCTATCATGTTGGCTACCCAAAGACTTCTCTCTGTTTCCTTTTTATTGTCATGTTTTATAGAGGAAAGTATTCCTTTGTATTTCAAGGTAGAATATAACTTGCTTGAAAGAAACCTGTGCATTCTTTTTAGGAAGCAGGTTATATTGATCCAACAGAGAAGACTGTGAGTCAGAAAACTGATTTATATTTCAATGGCTATTATTTATCTACTTATATTTTGGATTATTCTGAGGAAATAATTACATTTGTATGCCATCATTTTCTCTAAGTGTAAAATGTGTTTTTATCTGTGGGTCAGTTCATGTTCTGTGGATTAATAATGTCACACAGGAACAAAATATTTATTCTTAAAAGAATAAAATTTTCAAGTTAAGGTCTTCAAACCACAAAACCAGTATGTAGATGTAACTTAACCCTTCAGGTTAATAACTGGCATATTTGTTTCCAAAACTTTGAGCCTTTAGATTATGTAGTATTTTACAAAGATGATATTTTCTGCAAATACTAATATGAAGTTAGACTTTTTCCTGTCTTAATCCTTGGAGGATACATGTACAACAGAACCTGCAGCACACTACACATGATGATGGGTTGGGATTGGTTGAGGTTTTTTAGGCACAGTACAGTGCTCTGCAGTCCTAGCCCACATTCCCTTATTCATGGAGATGTCTGATTGGCTGATAGGGTTTCATCATCATTTCTCTGCAGGGTCAGTGAAATCCCCCAGCTACATGCTTGGGTATACTTTTGCTAGAAAAGTTGCTGCAGAAAGCCATGCAAGTACAACTTCATGCTAGCTCAGTAGTGAGCAACCGCATCCAGAGGAATATGCTGTCTGTAACCTGCTGTAATGACATTTGGGAAGTGGCAGCGATGCTTTTTTCTTCCATTTTAGGCATCAGGAGTTTTTAAATCTTGTGTCACTGTCCTGTCCTGTCCTGCAGAAAGACTCAGAAATAATTTTCTTAATTGTGTGCACTCCAGTCAATGAGCACTTCGCGAGGCAAATATGACAAACGCTCTGTTTCTGTTGCAGGGTCATACTGGGGAGAGATACTTATAGGTAATATGCTGCTTTCTGAGTGACAACAAACTCCACACTGTCCATTTAAGTGTTATCGTAATTGCCTCTCTAAAGGTTACTAATGCTGTTCTGAAGAATTTTTTTAAACTAGTTTTCCGCTGCAGGCAAAACGTGCATGGGTGTCTTTAATTCAGTCTGTGCAACCAGGAAAAAAATATATATTTATAAATATTCCAGGTCTCCAGAATGAATTAAAAGACACATATAAATATTTACCAATTTGGGCATTCAGAAGGAAATAATAAACTGGTTTTTTGCTTTATCTTAGTAAATAAGTAATTCCCTCATAGTCAACCCAATAGAAGAAAATCAAATCAGACCAGCTATATTGCCTCAAGTGTAGTTAAGTTCATCATTTTTGCTAAGGTTATAGTGGTAATGCAATATACCATGGAAGAATCTAATATTCAGCCCAGGGTGAAGATTGGGCATGCCAGAGGATTAGTGTCAGGGTGCTTTATAGAAGTGAAACTTGATGGACAGGCTGGAGACAGATCTACAGAATCTCATTAAATTGCTGAATTGTTCATTACTGAGCACTCTCACTGTAATAAAGTGCTCATTGACTTTGACAAATCCCCATCCCATGTCTTAAGGAAGAACAGCAAAGCAAGAGGTGTTGGGGAAGCTAGAGGAAATTGGCACAAAGTGGGGGAGATAATAGAAAAGCTGATGGGGGGATGCTACCATTTGATTTGTCTTACCTGTGACTAGTGTGGCCTCCTGCACACACATGCCTGCACGTTATGGTGATATTAATTCAGCATGTCCCCAAGGCACCTTTGCTAGTAGGCTGCCACAGAGCCCTAGGCACAAATTAAAGTTTCCCTCAGAGAACCTTTGAGAAGGGTGCCACTGTCTGCAGAGCACAGTTATTTACACTAGTTGGAATTCCCAATGTCCACTGGGTGATTTGATCCTAATGCACATAAAGATTAAGGCAGTTATTTTAATGTATCAAAATGTGTACACAGAATGATGCTTGAATGTGATTTCAACTGAAGTGACTGCAGTTCTTATCTGTCACATTTTGAGTTTTTGTTAGACTACCAGTTTACAATTGGACGATTTTAGTGAATATGGTGAAATACAACTGTGAACAGATCAAGTTTGAGAAAGCTAAACAGTAATAGTACTGGCAGTGTGCTAGGATATGGATTAATGTAGAGTACTACAGTAATTCCTGTTGATTTTTCAGACTCTTTGGCTTCATGTAAGTGTCTTATTTTAAGTGGAGACAATAGACAAGGACTATAATGATGTATTTCTTAAAACAAATAAACAACAAAAAGCCCACCAGAAAGCCTGCGTAGGCTGTGAAATTGGAGAAATTTACTAGCCTCCATCATTAGGGGTTTTTTAGGTAGGCTAAGCTAGGAATAATGATTATTAGTTGACATAAGATTTGGTTTCATATTGAGTTTTTACATTTTTACTAGCATGTGAGATTATGAAATATTATTTTGTATACAGGAAATTTATTATTTGTCAGCTGCATTAAAATGTGTAAAGTTAAAACAGTGACATGTAAGAAAAAATTAAATAAAAAAAAGATGAAAGAGACCAAGGAAGAATCCTGAAGAAGTTGGAGGAAAAGAAACTAATTTTTAGTATTTTTCTTCTTCATCATGATCTGTGCAGCACTTCTTTTTTCCACAGGAAGCAGTCCTGACAAGGACATAAATGTGTAGTTTATCTTGAAGTGAAAAGTGAGTCTTTTCATAATTAGCCATTGTAAGATAGGCTCATTGGCTCTACTTTAAGGAAGCAGGTGAATTCTTTCTCTTGATAATTGAAAAAGTAACCAACCCTGTAAGATGGAACGTGTTGGAGAAATGTAGCAGTAGAGGGCTTGTTCTTGGAACCTTAGCGAATAGAAAGCAAGCCCAAGATTTATGAAAAAAACTAATGTCAGCCTTAGTTATAATACAGTTATGCCTTATGTTTTTTATTAGAAAATTCAGTGTCATAAGGCTTAAATATTCGTATTTCAAAGATCATACTAATAGTTACATATAGAAATATCTACTGGATCATTCTGTCTCCCCACAGCACATTGGTCAGGTATTAAATACTGCCTTTCATCCAAGGTCAACTCCCAAATCACATTTGGAAATAAGTCTTAATGTGAGATCAGTATAGATTAGTTTCTTCCATCTCTGCTACTGTTTAAGTAGGTGGTTAAAGGATATATGTTTTTTCAACAGCTAACATTAAAAGCAGACCAATTTTAATATTTTTCAGTGCTTTTGAAGCCAAGGTTAGAAGTTTTTTCTTAGTTTTGTTTTTTGTTTTTTTTTACTTTGCCGTACTTCTTGGTTTCTTGGTAATCAACTGATAAGCAAGGAATCTAGGAAAACTTGGTAAATAAAACTACATGAGTGGTTTATTCAGCTAGAAAACATGCAACTTTGTTGTGTCTTTTCCAGGGCTAGTCTCCTAAGACATTCTAGCCCTGTTAACTTCTTTGCATGTAAATTCTGAACTTGAGTTCATGAAGTACATGTTCCACATATGAAAGTGTAGCACTAGTTATTCTTTTTATTCCTTCAGATGTGATGTCCAAAACCGGTGTTTGGTCTCTATATTAGAGAATTGTCTTTGCTTGAATAAATAGAAAAATAAATGACAGGAAGGCTACAGTGTTTAGGTCAATATGAGTTGTTAACATCTCTTTTATAAAAATAAAAAAATGTACAAATCCAGTTTTCTTATTACAGTCATGTTTATCCTCTTCTAATGGAGAGTAAAGTGCCCTATTTTCAGCTGCCTTTTTTTATACTTGAGTTCCATTTTGAATTTCCTAGTGACATTTGTGGAGGGCCAAAAGTATTCAGCAGAAATCCTGCTGTAGGATATTTTGCAGTGTACGCATTGTGGCAGAAAGGCCCAAAGACATCTTCTGTTCATCCCCAGTGATGCACACATTTACCTATGCAGAACAGCAGTTTCTAAAGTGGGTTGTCATGTTCCAGTAAAAGCTTGCCACTACTTCAGTACAGTACTTGATTTTTTTTTCTGTCAATCTTTTGGTATTGCAGAGCAATTTTTAATATGGAGAGAGCAAAAATAATTTTTCTCAGGGATATATGTATGTTTTGATGAAATGTGGCCTAATTGCCTTGCTAAATGTGAACTAAAATTT